GTTGCTGTTCTTTCTGCATTATTTATACGAAATTTTTATTGTTGTTCTGCTGACGGATTTTTTGTTCGCCGCCGCCGTGTTAGGGCGAAATATTTTGTTTGGGTTTTGTTTCTGTTTTGGTTTCTGTTTTATTCTCATTGTCAGTCGCCGTGGCTCTTTGTGTTTTGATTACGCAAATTAAAAGCGTCTAGACAGGGCAGCCGATTGGGGAAGGGACTGATCAAGGGAGCCCGACGGCGAGGGTTGACCGACTGACCGCCGGCAGCGCCTTATGCAACCGCTGTGTGGAATCGTCATGTTGTGTCCAACTAAGATAACCCAAATATAACAAGAATTCTTCTTTATGTAATGGGTCAATGACACCCTAAAGGTATTTCCAGGTAAGTGAAATTTGCAACGTTAATAAAACCGCTTACCAAAGAGATGAGTGGCTTTGAAGTATTTCGTATTGCGGGGCAAAGTGCAAAAACAATTCGAAGTTTTGATGTCAATGAGTAATATTAACACTCGCAATTGAGCAATTCTATAGCAAGGAGCTTATTTTGGAGCAGTAAGGACGAACCACCCACGCGAATGCTGTACCAACTAGCTTTTTGATCGAAGCCGATCTATGTGATGGTCAGAGAGAGCGACGCGTAAGCAGTTTTGTTTTTCTGCACGCGACGCGTAAGCAGTTTTGTGTTTCTGCAAGAAAATTCTGTTTTATTCTGGTAATATCGTGATTACAATACGCAAAAGTGGTGGAAAGTGAAAATGAAAGTGCGGTGAACGCGTGGAATATGGAGGATATAGGGAAACTTTAGAAACGCATCCCTAATTTGCAAATTTCGGGTCCGTTTTTTGTAATTGGCGGCTCATACTAATACATCCATAAATATGCCAAAACAGTAGAGGGCGACGCGTAAGCAGTTTTGTTTTTCTGCTGGGAAAATTCTTTTTTATTGTGGAAATATATTTATTACAGTACGTAAAAGTGGTGGAAAGTGAAAATGAAAGTGCGGTGAACGCGTGGAATATGGAGGATATAGGGAAACTTTAGAAACGTATGCCTAATTTGCAAATTTCGGGTCCGTTTTTTGTAAATGGCTGCTCATACTAATACATACATACATATGCCAAAAAAGTAGAGGGCGACGCGTAAGCAGTTTTGTTTTTCTGCTAAGAAAATTCTTTTTTATTGTGGAAATATATTTATTACAATACGCAAAAGTGGTGGAAAGTGTAAATGAAAGTGCGGTGAATGCGTGGAATATGGAGGATATGGGGAAACTTTAGAAACATATCCCTAATTTGCAAATTTCGGGTCCGTTTTTAGTAAATGGCTGCTCATACTAATACATACATACATATGCCAAAAAAGTAGAGGGCGACGCGTAAGCAGTTTTGCATTTCGGTGATTATAATTAAATTTAATCGCGCTTGTAAGATGACTACGGCAAGCAAAAGCGGTTAAAAGTGTAAATCAAAAGGCGGGGAACGTGAAGTATATGGAGCCGCCCTAACTTTAACATATTTTGAATGTTTCGGGACCGTTTCTGGCCATTAGCGCTTTCACAAATACCCTGAGAGGATATAAAAAAAATAAAGCACTAACGATTATCAATCTCTCGTGTTAGTAGCTTGCGCGGTTTTTTTTTTTTGCAAGAACGGTTTGTGTTTTTTGTCGTAATAAAAAGTGTAAGATCGCGTAGGTTGGAGCTTTTTGGAAACATTCATGGACTTTTCTTTCTCAAAAGTGCTCAGGACTCCGTGCACCAATACCATAACCCTACGTGTGTGTAGGTGTAAGAAAGGTAAGCTACCGAAAATACAGTTGTTTTCAAAATACGAACTGCTTTCTTAACAGTCTAGATAATATTGAATAAAAATTCAAAAAATGGTAACCTTAAAAAAAATTATTTAAAGCCAACAAGTTAAGTTATTGTGCAAAATTTAAATGATAATGTATTTTAACAGTTTCTTTTTTTGGATAAATTTAGTGCCTTTTAAAAAAAAGCTTTAGGAATTTTTTTGTTTTTTTTTTTTTTATGTGTGTACTTACTGTACAGTTAAGTAATTAAAACCAAGCAAATGTTTTAAGTCGTGCTTCGTGGTGATTTATTTATCCATGTCCTGTCCTTTCGCGCCGAGAACTGCTTTGTCGCGGCAAAGTTGATTGACCTCTTCATCTAATGACCTGCCACAGTGAATTGACCTCAGACATCTGCTGTACCTCCTTGGGGATAAAGAGGTCGATGCCACGCCTTCTCCGCATCTATGCAGCCGCACTTCATTACCGGATAATTGAATATGTGCGACGATAATTTTATTTTACGCAATATAAACACAAACTGCACATAACTTTCCTCCCTTCTCCTTTTCGCTGCTTCTGGCAGAGACAATTAATGCGCCCACAAGCGAATTTCTGCTGATAACAAGTGGTATTTAGAGGGCCAGAAACTTAATTATCCGTCTGGACGAGCGTGGGATTTAGCCGTAGGCGACCTTCACTGGGGACCAAGGACCAGCGCATAAATCATACAATATCGATTGTCGATAAAGGGAATTAATTTTTCTGGCAAAACTCACTGGCCCACGCAAATATTGCTTCACCTTTAATTTAACCCATTTGTTCTACGTGGTATCATCTGCAATAATACAAATTAATGTTGAAAAATTTTGGTTACAAATAATATAATATAATCAAAATGGGCTTTTTCGAGTAAATCTGTTAATTAAATAATTTTCCATTCGTATGATTCAGACTAAAAATGGGTTAAGCGTCGTCTTTATTATTAAGAATTGGCGTTTTATTCGAATTCGTTGTAATTATTTACATTAAAGATTGTGTCGACGGGGCGATCTGAAGGCAAATACTTGGCGGTGACTTACAATTTCGATGGACGACGACGACGCTTTGAATGCCAAAGTGGCGGCTGCGGCGACGCAACTCGTATACCTACGACAACTGTCAGTTTGAATAATCTATATCTGTGGGATTGTTGTCTTGCAGTTGGCTGTTGTTGCTGCTGTTGTTGCCTTTGTTTCCCCGCTGTTTTTGTTTGGTTTTCGTTTTGTTATTTCTGTCGTCTGAAGCGCCTTATCGGCGGCGCCTCCAGAAAATATGTCACACGTACGCGTCAAAATTTCTCAGAAAATAAACCGCAAAATAAGCATGATACGTCTGAAACGATACGGGGAGGCACCGTAGGCGATTATGCGATGTTCGCCGTCCTTTGGGGTATGAGTAATTTGGTAATTTCGATTTTAACAGTTTGAAGAGGCGCCAAGAAGTTGTCTGTAACTATGACCAAGCGTCATAAGCCATATCGATAAGAAAAAATCTATTATTGATAATCTAAGTTTTGACTTCAGTTTTGTTTAAACTGCCAAAATAACAATTTTACTTTAACTTGATTCAACTTAATGATACATTTCTGACTGTCTAATTGCATTGTACATTGTTTACAAATAATATGGATACTAAAAAAATTCGCTTTGTTTTCCCCATATCAAAGCGGGAAAACAAAACCGTAAATTTGTTTGTTCCGTGAAGAACCGAAAACATTTACGGAGCCATAATGCACAAACCTCAAATGGACTTCCTCAATACAACTAAGGATAAAGGGTAATCCAGAGGAAAATAAATAATAAAACGCACATGTATCAACCACAAAAAGTGTATAAAAATCGCATGCGCAATCGCTTTTATTGCATTTGATGAACATTTAATTTTGATTTAATTTTTAATGATGCCACAACCAGCACTCCCCTGTTCCATTGTTGTGTGTATTTTTTTGGCTCAAGCTACGTGATAATCGGCTATATTGCCCATTACTGCGGCCACCCACAGATGAGCAAATAACAATGACAAACGATGTTCATATAAGTCCGTTTATATGGACTATATCTTATTGTGGTGGGTAAATTTTTTGCTATTCAATGCAGTTACATTTTGCAAATTGGCAGACGGCTTGTTTATTTATTTATTTTTGTTTAAATTTTAATGATAGCTCCGGCAAGTCTGAGCACGGCAAATAAACAAATTAACTCTAAAAATCATTGAATTTGTAATTACATGTTCTTGTATGCGTGTGTATCTGCGATTGTTTAATGTAATTGTTTTGTTTATCATTGTTGCACTTGTTCATTCCGGATAATTGCAGATTGGCATGGGGGTCGCAAAAAGTGTGAAAGTACAGCAGTAATAAATCAATTATTTCATTGTTCTGAAAAAGAGATCTTTGATTTATCAAAAGCAGAGAACGAATTATTTGAAACCTTTTAAGTTTGAATTCCTTGAGTTCTGATCAAGAATTTAAGAACAAGAACTGGGGAGAGATAAGGCAGCTTCGTATATAAGCATATTTTTTTCCAGTTTATGTTTAACGTTTTATATTTAAATACAAAATATAACAACTTGAACTAAAGCAACAACTTAAGTTTATTGTTTGTGTTACATTTCATGGCGGTCTCTGGCTTAAGATAAGCGTTCCCAAGAAATCCCATATATTATTATTTAAAAGTTTTATTTTATTTTCTTCGAATTTGCTGTTAGTGTATGTTGCTCTCTCTGTTTCGATTTCGCTTTTGTTGACTATTGACCTTGTACTTTGCACAATTACTCAATATTTTTCCCACAATAACAACCATATTGGACGCAATGTCATCATTCCACTGTTCGGTTGACTGGACCGAACTGGTCGGTTAATTATTTTGTAATTTATTAATAGACTCACGACATAAGCATGCACGGGGCACGGGAGCAATTAAGCGATTGTCAACAATAAAATGTATAAACAATATATGTATAATAGATGGCCCACATCAACGTCGTGTTTACCGAAGATGCTATCAGCTCAAGGGAGATATTCGGCGCTGGCTCACTATTAGTTTCGAGAGCTGCTCAAGATTTGTGTTTGGATAGCACGAAACATGCGCTTCCCACGAGAATCGGTTGGGCTAAAACATGACATTTTGGTTAGTATAAAAAGTCAGTCCCTAGATGGAACCGATTTATAGTTTGTTACAACCAACCTCTGATAAGTACTTTTAACAATGAAAGTCGCGATTTTGTCCTGGATTACTTTGGCAGCGCTAATGGTACGACCTTAAATAGACACAACGCGAATTCAAGAGAGAAACAGTTTTAGTACGGAAAAAGATTTTCAAACTAAGATTTCTATTTTAAAAAATTCTTTAAAATTGTTGTGACTGTTCCTTGCGATTCCACCTCCAAGCCTGTATACCATGAGAGATGATTTTGCTGCACATTAATCGTTTCCCCTTTGCAATTAGTGCATCGCTGGGGCTCAAGTCCCGGGTCAACCCGAGGCCATGGACGCCGCCAAAGGGAGTGTGGGCGCGGCGGCGGGCGCTGGCGGTCAAGTTGGAGCCCAAGGCGGCGGAGCGGCCGACGTTGCTGAAAGTGGAACTGGAGCTGGAATGTCCGCCGGCATTGGAGCGGGCGCCAATGCCCAAGCCGAAGCAACTGGAGCTGGCAGACGTTAGCGCGGCACTTTCGTTTGAAATCTCACGTGCCCTGCGCTATTTGTTCAGGGCCTCGCACTTGTTCACTTGAAAGTTACTCCGCAGAATCGGGGACCAATAAGATAATACCGTTGATCAATTACAGCCGCTGGTTGTTAAGCAAGGGAAAGAAAGACGTATAAGGTGTATTTAATCCATAAAACATGAAGAGTTTCGTTTGTCGCACTCTATGATTCACTGATGGCGCCAGCTTTCAGAGAGCTCAGTGTCATAATTGATTTGAAATTGCGGGGCGTCGCCACGTAATTGGCCGCCCATGCACTGAAAATCGGCTCACTTCAATAGAAGTCAAGCACACCGAAAAACGAATTGTTTTGGCAGCTTAAATTCCATTTAATGCCTTATTATGAAATACACCCCGAAATACATCGACTGTACGGCCGACAGGTGTATGTGCCTTGGGGCAAAAATAGAAATAGAAAACTCATCAGCGAGCGTTAAAAATATCAACAAAATTTCCACATAAATCAAGTGATCAATAAATAAATAAAATATGGCAAGCACTGGCACCAGCACCAGCAACAGCAAAAGCAACAAATTGAATATTGTGAAATAAGGCAAATGAAAAAAGTGGCTTGCTTTGTTTTTTTGCACATTCATCGCAGTTGATTGTGTACAGTAGAGGTTGGGGGTAGACTGACGATGTGGGGCGCAGATAGAGTAATGAGTTTTGATGGGGTATAGACGGGGATGTTTATTAAAAAATGTTAACTGTTTGGGGAATTTGTACTATACTAAAAGTTAATAATTCATTTCTTTCCCGTAGCTTGTATATTTTGTTGACTATCGTTAGGCTTTGGCCCTGTTTCAAACTATAGTTCCTTTCAGGCATAAGCTAAACCCAAGTTACACCCATAAGGCGCAGATAAACAAAAGTTTCATTACCACTTGTGTAACTTGCCCGTAACTTACTGCATAATCCTGAAATTGAACTTGAGAATGGAACTTCGCCCTGCATAAGAAACTGTCCTTGACACGAGCCGCGCTGGGTGAGCTCACCTGTCTGGCCACACCTTCCTTAGATAAGAATTCCTCCACCTGCCGTCTCGAGTTTCTGCCGCCCGTCTGTACGGACTGTCTCCTCGGGCGATTATGGCAGCGCTGCTGGCTTCCTGCGGTGCTGAACTTGAAAGTGGTCACGTGCGAGGCGCCGATGTGCCGATATAATTGCCAATATAATCGCTTGCCCTCTTTGAACTGATAAACTGATATTTCGTGCATAACAAGCGCCGTACAGTGGGCAAAACAGGGGAAAGCTGCCCGTCATATACATTTTTATAAAAAACATTCCATATCCGTTTTGAAACCATTTGACCAAAAGCTATTTGTTGTTCAGGGGATCCTTTGCGCTTTTTGGGGCTACACAAGAAATATCATATTTTGCCGAGTTACTTTTCTTTTTTAAGTGAGCTTTGAAAAGTAATGCATCACACTTAAGACCACGGTGTGCATGTGTGTGGCCCGACTCGAGCTTATGTTTATTTTCATTCACATTTGCAGGTGCCACAGTAAAGTTATGGCCATGTGGCCAATGCGGTCTTTGGTGTAGGGAATCGTGTAATTCCAGTGGCGGGCCTTTAAAATTGATCAACTGCCAAGATTTCCTGGCGGCTCCAGTTCCTCACTTCTGAAGGTGCAAGACTCGAATTCCCACAAATTGCACCTCGCTTGATTTATGTTCGTTTCCTGCTCACGCAAATTGAATTCGTCCATATGCAATCTTATGTGTATGTATATTGAACGTTGAGAAGGGCATAATGGCTTCGATGGGCTATCGCAAATCGGCCATAGGACATTATCCAGTCCCATGCCGGGTAGTCATAAGATATTCGCCATGTCAGTCGTAAATCATTCACAAATCGCACTCACGTGAGTTCATTTGGCACTTACATGTGTCTTCATCGGTTCTTATCGCGAGTGACCTATATACATATATGAATGCATGATATACCTGACAGATACACACATTTCTGTGGGCTTTATAAATATGCGCCGTCATTAGCTTTGGTCTAATCTCTCTGAAATGTGCGCATTAGTGCGAAATAGAATTGTGTTTTGCTAAAAGGAAACTATTTGCGGAAAAGTAAAAATATTTTGCACATGGTGGCTTATATTTAATTTCTTGTATATCTTAATACCTTTATAACTTTATACCCATCTGGACAATTTTCCTCGTAAACTAGTCCTCAGATTAAAAGCTCGATCACACTTTACCAAAATTTTTGTAGTTTCTGATAGTTTGCCAAAAGGTGACCCAAAACTGGACTTCCATTACCCATTACTTTGTCAATTTTAGACCGATCCCAAAGTGGATCTAAACGTTTGTAATCGCATCCTTATTACAACTCCAATCAAAATTTTTCATTTTCCGATGGTCGAAATTTCGACCGCTGTTCATTTTTCAGATTTCAGATTTTTCCAAGTTTTCAATGGACTCTATAGATTCAAATCAGTATCCCATCTGCGTATGTATGTATTTAGCGATTGTTCTAATACCTATGTTTGATTATATTTACACTGGTAACCGCATGCATCAATATATGCGCCGTTAGAATTACGCATTCGCTAATTGTTCCACGAGTAGTACTAAATATAGAATGCCGAAACTGCGTATTTTACTGATTAAACCCCCTGAATGGATCGACAGCCCGGTTCGATGATGACTTTTCCGTTGCTCGTTTTGCACTTTTTGCGTTCCCGACTTTGGGCCGTAAACTACGCAATTGATGGGGTGTAAATGGACGTAAACGCTGTAATCATTACGGCGGCGGCGGCCATTCGCTATTTGTATCTGTCAGATACTTTTGCGCTCGCGCTTGATTTATGAACTGCGAAATGCAGCAACGACAACAACATAAGCGACAATTACTGTTACTTGCCATGTTCATTGCGCTCAATTGAGTAGGTAAATCGCTGAAATGTAATTTCGCCTGCATAATTAATAATTCGAAGCGAATGCGAGTGTCAGAGTAGAGAAAACTGAAAAGATGTATACAAATCAACAAAGCTTATCTTAAATAGAGCATCATTATTGTTAACCAATAGCTTGGTTTTTATTTCTTTATTCCTAAATATCAGTGGATCACCCATTTCGTGTCACATACCTTTAAAAACCAGTAAAAAGCAGCACTGGAAGTCGGCAGGAAACCGAAAGACCCAATTAAAAGCGATTTGCCTCGAGTCTCTAGACTCGAAGCGATCCGCTCGAGCGGTGCCAATTAACATTGCGAGTACGATCCGATTCGATCTCCATTCCCGCATATAGAAACTTCAGCTTGTGCCCGTGCAATTGCGGAACGGATACGCGGCTTTTCGGTTTAAAAATAGCCACCTCAATATTTATTTTTGGCCACCCTGGCCTCCTACTCAAACTCTATGTACTCGCGCTTCCGTCGCCGTTTCTCGCTTTGATGTTTATTTTTAAACCTCACCAAATGCTTGAAATCATTTTTAAAGCTAAGTGGTTGTTTGTTGTGTTAATAACATAAACAGCAGTCCGGCAGCGCCGCCTATTCTAACTTAAGAATGCGAAACGGTCAGAGACTGATGGGATATGTCTGAATGAAAGCAAGAACCGGAGGAGATCGTAGAATGGGAATCGGAGTGCTAAGTGTGCTCTACCCTCAAGTTGACAAGACTCAAACTCGTTTTAGCCAATTGAATTTTTGAATTTTATATAATTTGCTTGCCAATATTTGCGTCTGATCAATACGAGCCTTCAATTATTCATGCCGGTGATTATTGCCCACCAAGGTATTATTTGCTTACCCGTTTAATTTCATCAGCTCAGTTGATTGGTTTAAATAAGTTCAAACAATTTTATATATAGCCTCTTTCGTTGTACTAAATATCAAAGTATGCTTTAATCGATTTTCCAGAATTAAACTAGTTTATTGACCAATTGCATTCCGTTGGAAATAGCCATTATCAACATGACCTTCTCGTGGTTAACTAGCTTGGTTATCAGAGCCCACAATATATTTTTTTGGCAGGTACTAGATTGCAAAACCACATCGAATTTTGGCAAAACAAAAAGTAAATAAAATGTCATAAAGATTTTGCTACTGCATTGGAATTATCAGCAGAAAAAGCTGAATAGCACCATGAATGAAATTTGCTGGTCTGCTCTATAGGAAGTTCCCAAAGAGAGTCGCCACCTGTTGAGCTTCTGTTTTCATAGATTCTCTTGTGTTTCCATCTCTTTCTTCTCTCCTCGCCACGCGCGAATAAATTTGTTTATAATTCGCTTTGGCGTCCCGCCCCTTATCAACGCCTTGCCCTTATCTTCCGCTGGCATTGGAAATTCCCGAAGTCGCCGGCGATCGCTTACGATCACCGAACTAAAACATGAAACTACCAGCCTTTCGAGGTGAAAGAACTTTTCGCAAGCGTGTGTCAGACTGGCGATCATGCGCTCTGCCTTGGGGGAAGCTCCGCTCAGAAAGCCACCCCACATTATGCCGCCCAGCCCCCTCCCCCTCCCTCTTTCCATTAAATAAGTGCGTGACTCGGGCACGCGTCTCAGAATGGAATTTTTCGAGCCGCAATCAGCGGGCGAAACTAATGAATCTGAAATTAATACATTTCGCATTCGCCATTCCAAAGTCGAGAATGCGAGTTTCCATTTTGTCACCGATCTTATAATATAATTAAATGGTTTGTGCTAATTTAGTAGAACCCAGAAAAGAGTTCAAACTTGGCAACCGGGATTGGCGGAAAAGCGCTTGTTAAATTGCGCTTCTCGATTTCATTTAGTAAGCGATAAGCACTCACTCTTTTATCGTGTTGTATTTATTTTTTACTTTTTCTTTGAGAAGTTTGTTGTTAACATTTTGGAAATGAGTCTTCTAATTAATGTTGCTGTTGGCCGTATATTAGCACTATTAAATTGTATTACTGACTTCTGTATTTATTTAGCGTGTCATGGCGCGAACCCTCGTGGGCGTTGCTAATGAACATTCCCAGAATGTTATCACTTCTGGGAAAAGAGTGCCAAATGAGATTGAAGTCTGGCAAAAACATTTGCTCAACTCATTGGGGCTTTCTCGATTCTACCAAGTGGTACCGCCGCCACTTCCTCGGGTCTGGGATCCGTCATCCGGTGACTGGCAGCACATGGAGCGATCACTTGATCGCACGTGAACGCCATTTGAAGGCTTTCGACGTAATCGCAAATAGGAAAACCAGATTCGAGCAGCCTGGCGCTTGTTATATTTGCATAAATCATTTCTGCTCGCTCGAATTTTCCATGTTTGCGTATTATTTGCCCTCTGTTTCGGCGTGTGTGTGGTGTTTTATTGCATTTTGGTTTGCGCTTAGTCAAACATTCAAGTGCAAATAACAGCAACCTCAGCGTTTTTATGCGATTTCACTTGAAAATGTATTTCTGTTTTGTAAATTTTAGATTATTTTCGCTATCGTTGCAGTTTCTATTTGCGGCTACAAACTATTTTAGGTAATGTAATAGTTGATCTCGCTTCCATATTACTTAATTTTGA